CATTACTAGATAGTGTAACTGAGATTACAGATTAAGATCCAACTGATAATCGACAACCGTTAATAATGCAGATCCATTTTTCAAAATCATCGTCTATGGGATTTGAACTCTAGACCTGCCACTTGGAAGGGTGACAACTAACCAACTACTACACCTCTTACTGGTAATATCTTTTATAATTGTACTTTTAACTTTCAATTATAAGAATTGAAAAGTATAGATCATCATGATATTATATATATAAAATATAAAATTTTAATTGATTCTTTTAAGAGCTTTATATAGTTTCAATTTAAAGTAATTCTGGCTCTAATATGAACTTCTTAGCTAAAAAATTTAGAATTTTAAACTATTTTAGCCTGAATTTAAGCCCAATATTTAGAATTTTAAATAAATTCTAATCAGAATTTATATTTTTTGGCCCAATATTTGGAAATTTATACTTTCTGGCTTAATATTTGAAATTTTAAATAAATTTATATTCAAATTTATATTGTTATTTGGTATTAAATTAAAATATATAAAAAAATAATAATACAATACTGTGCCAAAATCATATGAGTTTGCTGAATAATATCTCAATAACTACATATTCAAAATCAATATAATTTTTTTATTTTAATTTTATAGATTTATAGAATTAAAATAAAAAAATTTTTATTAATTTTTGATAAGTAGTTATCAAGATAATATTGCTTAACTTTAAAAAAAATATATAATATTTTTATTAAGGATTGTCAATCTCATCCAATCGAATTTTGTATAACCAAAAGAATTTTGGGGGTTACTGTATGAGTTCTGATTTTGATAGTAATACTAGGCATATTATAAATATACTCTTATCTGAGTATTAACTAGGTATATTTACTTGAGTAATACTTAGTGTTTCAATCTGTAATTTAACAATTCGAATTGATTTGATAATTTGGATTAAATATTGATATTCTAATCAGTTTATTTTAATAGATAGATCTGTAATAAATATCAGATTAAGGATAAGAATTATATGGATCCTTATCCTAGATATATATAATCTGAATTACTGCAAAATTCGAATACTACTGTAATTCACTAACAAGTTTACTTTACTAACAGTTTATTTTACCAACAGTTCATTTTGTTGACAGGTTTTTTTATAAATTACACTAACCTTAACTCTAATTCTAACCTGAAATAACCAGAATTACTTTGTAAAATAAGCTATTAGTAAAATAAACTATTAGTAAAATGAGCTATTAGTGAATTATAGCTGTTTTTATAAATGCTAGAACAGCTAAAAAATTTTTTATGACTGAATTGATAAGTTATCAAGCTAGAATTAATAAGTTACTGATGTTAGCTGATATCAAAAACTTATTGATTTGGTCATAGGCAATGTTTCAAGTGTCTCAGAATTTATGAAAATAGCTGTAATCGATTACTGTAAAGAAGATCCAAATTTAATTTGAATAGTCTTTTAAGAATAGGATCAAAACACTACATATTGAATGTTTTAATTACTAGGATTCTCATTATTGAATCCAAATTGAATTTGAATTTGCTAATCCAAATTAAAATTCGAATAAATTGGATATGTTAAAGAGGATCCAAATTTAATCCGAATAGCCTTTTGAAAATAGAATCAAAACACTAGTAATACTTGGTTTATCTACCTAAGTAGTACTCAGATATGTTTACCTGGGTATTATGGTTCCGTATTATTTCACTGACAATCACTTCATAGACACTACACATTTCACCAACAATTATTTATTGACAAGTTCATTTTATTGACAGTCTATTTTACAAAAGTTTATTTTACAACAAGCTTTTTTTTTTATAAATTACACTGACTTTAACTCTAATTTTAATCTAACCCTAATGATATTGACCAGAATTACGTTGTCTGTAAAATGAGCTTTGGTGAAATAAACTGTTAGTAAAATGAACTTGTTGGTAAGTAATTGTCTGTGAAATGTGGTATCTATGAAGTGATTGTCAGTAAGTTAATCAAATTCCAGTATTACTTGGGTAAATCCACCTGAGTAATACCCAATTACCGCAGTTCATCCAAGTAATACTTGACCTGAGTACAATCACTACTTATTTAATACCCAGTTTGATAAATGCAGATAATCATCATTTGATCACATAATTGCCAGCTATTTCCAGCATTAGCCACAACAATAATAACTAATATCAGGACCAACAATCCTTTCGGTCCATCCTAAAAAAGACAGGACCAGTGTCACAGCTAGTGATGTGCCATGTACAGTACTATACATACAGTACTGTACGCTAAAATTTTTGCTGATCACTTGTTTTAGCCAATCAGATGCCAGAAAAGAACTATACGTACAGTTCGTACTGTACGTACTGTACGCTAAAATTTTTCAAAATTTTTCAGGTATCATATAAATGGCACATTACTAGCTACAGCTCAGGGAGAGACTTATGTACTTCGTAGTCAATTTAGCTTTAAGCCGTGAATATTAGGGTATTAAAAGAATGTAATTTTTATATTGTTGGGAGAGCAAATATTATGTTTATTATATACATAAGTTACAGTAAAGTTATCAAGCTAAAAGATTAACTCTTCTCTTTACGTTTAGCGATCCTTTTATATACAACTATCTAGAATAACTAGTGATGTTCCATTTATATGATACCAAAAAATTTTAGCGTACAATATGTACTATACATATAGTTCTTTTTTTGGCATCTGATTGGCTAGAACAAGTGATCAGCAAAATTTTAGCATACAGTACATACAGTATGTACTGTACTGTACGTATAGTACTGTATGCGGCGCATCACTAAGAATAACCAATTACAAGAATGAGGTAAGAACTACGACTATTTACAAAGAATGTGGTAATTGTTACTAAACGTTCATTGAATGTAATCATAAAAAAAAAATAGAAATCCGAAATATGATGTAATCAGAGCTGGATCACCGTACGATCATCAAAATGTAGTGATAACCTAAAACGGCAAGTCGGTCACTAATCAAATCGAGACCTTGTGTATCCTATGTTCAGTTTAGTCGAAGAGAAGCGTTTAGATTTGGCAAGTGGATAATTTAATTGTAGGTATGACCTCCTTATATTTTGTTAAAAGTTGTTAATATGCACTAACGTATATCCAATTTACTTTACAATGCTTTTAATCACAACCACGGCTTGGGCCTTACTCTTGGGCTCAAACCAGAACAATGCAGCCACAACAATCCTCGATACGTTGGGAGTGTTGAACACAGTAACCACAACTGTCCTTGGTATGTTGGGAGAGTTGGAAAACCACGGCAGTTCTCAGTCCATCGAGAATCAACCGGAAGGTAACGTTTACGAAGTCACGTGGGCAAGACAATTATTGAGCAACGATCTTTCACTATGCCACTTAGTGATTGATCAAGGTAAAAGTATTTAGTATAGCGGATTGTTTAATTAGGGTTTTTATTTGGGGCAATTGGGTAATTTTATTTAGGGACGATAATTGTAAGCAAATGGAACTTATTTTCCTTAGGGCCTTCACGGCCTTTTTATTTATAATAAAAGATTCGGTATTACAATAAGTTTGATAAGTTTGATATATTTGATATATGCGCCGTAACCCCGTGATCCCGGGTCACACTTGAGCCGCAGTAGGTAGGTCGAATTCCGGGGCTCACAGTAGTAATCGGCTAAAGTAATTAAAGTGGGGTCGATCAGACCGATCGAATTTTGTCAGTAGACAAAATTTCCCGTGACACCGGCGATCCATCGGTCCACTTAACAGCCCTAATCGATATAGTATCAGTAAAATGAAAATCTAATCACTACCGATCGGATAATACCCTTTAAATTTTGGGTACAAGCAAAATTAGCCCAGATGATTCGAAAGGTGCAAATTCATCTATACGCCAATAACCTATCATTTGCTTTCAAAAATTAGCAATCAAAATTTCAGAATAGACAGCATGTTATCTAAAATTGACCTTTAAATCTTGTCATATATATTTTTTTCGCTGATTTATTTAATTGGGGCCTTATTTAAAAAAAGTTTCAAATATTGAATTGCTTCGTAACATTATATGGGAAGTTAATAGAAATGGGACAAATTTTTTCTAAGTAAATCTTTAAGTTAATAAAATATCTCAACAACTATCATACAAAATTTAATAAAAATTTTTTAAAAATATTTTAAATCTGGTTTGGTAGGTGTTGAGATATTTTAGTTTTAAATTTTTAAAAAAAGGTACTAAATATGATTTGTCCCATTTCTATTGGCTTCCTCCATATGTTCAAAAAAAATTTATTTTTGACTTCGGTAGAAACTGTTACAAGTTTATTCCGTAATTAATTACGGCATAAGCTTTGCTTGAGCCGTAACAGTTTCTGTTGCGTTAATTGGCCTGACCTGGTCTGGTCCTAGCCAGTGTTTCGGCCTAAACGTGATTTTGCAGATCATTTGCAGATCAAATTGAGCGAAACTAGTTTCGGACTTATAGGGCGAAACTAAAATTCCTCTGGGCGAAACGTTTTGGACTTTGGGGGAGGTTTAGGCCGAAACACTGGTCCTGCTAAATTAGAAAAAAGTTTTTGCTTAATGACTAGTCTTATAGATTTACACTGATAAAATTGAAATTTTATTTTCAAATTCTTTAACAAATAATTAAGAATATAATTAATTCAAAATATAAAAAAGAATAATAATAAAGTAAAATTAAATAAAGTACAACAAAAAAAAAATTACGAAATATGTGAAGCTAATAACATTAAATGTCGTGGCTGATGCTGAAATTGGCTGGTGCTGAAATTTAGGAGCTCTATCTAAAAACATAAGCCCTACTAAAATTCACCCATACTCTTTAAATATCAAATCTAACCCCAAACCCAAACCTGGCCCTTAAAAAAACAGAAAAAATACCCCGAAATGTTTAAAATTTCATATTAAATAGATCCAAATTCCAGCATTAGCCAATTTCAGCATAACCGCGACAAGTGATTACAGTAAAAAAAGATATTTAATCTATTATACAATTAGGCAAAACAAATCTTTTCTTTAAATCGTTTTCTATGTACCCATATAACATAAATGGCAGTAGATACACCTAAAAAAGGAAATGCGTAAAAAAAAGCTCTATTATTAACATCAACCCCATTTGTGTTGTAAACAATGATAATACGAATTAGCAATTCAATAAGAAATACAAATCCCCAAACTGCCGTTACGATAATAAGTGGTCGTCGGAACGATGCATAAGTTCTCCAATATCTTTCACAACGCTCAGTAAAAGGTTCATCTTTTGTTAAACCTTCATAATTTCCTATACCATAATTTTTACTACAATAATATAAAAAGGGTCGCATCTCAAATGATCCAACCTTAATTGGAATTAATGTAATAACAAGTACCAAACCGACTACACCAAATACGAATGATGCTCCTAATGAATAAAATTTTGGAACATTAAATAAATTCAATATAATTGTAGAAACCAATACGATTATACTAAGCATTCCTAAAACATCAAATTGTTTACGAAAAATAAAATTAAAGGTTATTGAAATAACCGGTGGGATAATTGATATAACTAATGCCCAGATAATCCATATTTGATTTGAAAGATTAACGTAAAGGAAGATTGGTATATCGATAGTGAAAAGTACAAGTAATATAATTCGTAATGCAATTTTTGCTTTCTCCTTTAGGGTTATGTCAGTTTGAACTGATGAGGAACCTGGTTTTTGAATTACATTATGCTCAACATCAATTTTATTTGATCCATTAAGATGAGACATTCTAATTTTTAAAAATTATTGGTGAGTATAATATGCTTGCTTTGAAATGATATAATATACGAGGCTATAATGATTACCCACTTATAATGCGCAGTAGAATGCCAGGAATTAGATTATTAGTTCTTATATCCAGCATTTTATAAAACATTATCGCCTCGCTATATATCTGAAACGCATAAATTCCATTATGGTACTTACTTAAAAAAAATACTTTATTACTGTAATTTGAGTTGATGCAAAAACAATTTAAGGAATTATTAGCATTTTTAGTTATCTCATAAAGAGTTTCACTTGTTTATTGTTACATCGCAAAAAGGTTTACAATTGAAAGATTTACCAAACTTTAAATAATATTAATATTTTTAAGGCAATAATGATTATAAATGGTAAATAATAGCCAATCGGACTTTCATTAATTTTTCATGGCAGACTTACCGTATTTGGGTAATTATTTTGAATCGGATATCATTTTGGACGAAATAACGCCCATGGGCGCTATTTCGAACAAAATAGTCAAAATTAAAGTTTAGTGCGATGGGTGGCACTTACGCACCACCCATTTTATATGTAATTAAGGTTATATTAGGCATTAAAATTATTATCGTTATGATTTCTAAATTATTGTATATTATTCTGTTACAGAACTAAACCAAATATATGGTTAAGGTTGTCACAGATACATTTGCTATTCTAATGACCACGGTATGCGATTAAGGTTGAGTTAGCCCACGTAGCATACTTTTACTAATAAGAACTATAGTAATTCTTTTATAAAACTTATTCCTATTCTAGTGACAATAATATGTGTTTAAGTTTAATTTGTATTTGAATTGTCATAATTTCAATCACGAGATATTGTAAAAATTCCGGTACAGAACTTACTATTCTGGCAACAACAGACTGTAGTCAAATTTGTTCGCATTGTGATTTCTATCATGATTTCTGCCATGGGCTTCTGTGAAATTTCTGTTACAGAACTTGTTATTCTGGAGATTACCGTATGTAATATAAGTTAAGTAAGTTTGCGATTTCTATTGTTACTATAAAAAATTATGATACAGAATTTGCTATTCTGATAACTATGGTTTGTAATTAAAGTTAAATTAGCTTGTATCAGAATTATGTTTTTGACAGGAAATTACTATAAAAATTTTGTTGCAAAACGTACTCACTATTTCAGTAACTCATAGCATGTTTTTTTTGTATTGAAATTATTATCTTCATCGTTGTAAAATATTCTGTCACAGAACCTATTTACAAATGTAATACCCATTATTAAATCGAGTTAGTTATTTTCTATTATGAGTTTGTTATAGAGCTTTCTTGCTATTCTGCCCTATAAGAAAAATGGATCGGATCGGTACGGGTTGGTTACGGATAGGCACGGGCATTTGTGGCACGGGTCAAGATCCGGATTTGTACGGGTATGGTCCGAGTTGGTACGGATTCGGTGGTCCGTGTGGGACC